TCAATATTGGAAAAAAAAGTGCCTTCAAAGGCGGATCGCCCCCTCTTTCTATGCCTTGTGTGAATGTTAAAATGTTATAAATCTTCTTTTTATAAAGCAAATTTGATCATTGTATATTATCATATTTTCTCTCGCAAAATATTTTTAATTGTCAAACTTGCCGCTCTCTGCAGAAGGATTATTTCCTATGGGTGCCCATTACAGGCATTGGCTGCATCAACTGACCTTATGGGCTGCACCAATTGACCTTATGGGCTGCATCAACCGGCCTTATGTTCTGCATCAACTGGCCTTGGGGGCTGCATCAACCGGCCTTATGGGCTGCATCAACCGGCCTTATGTTCTGCATCAACTGGCCTTGGGGCTGCATCAACCGACCTTATGGGCTGCATCAACTAGCCTTGTGGGCTGCATCAACTGGCCTTATGGGCTGCATCCACTGACCTTATGGGCTACATCAACTGGCCTTATGGGCTGCATCAACTGACCTTAACCCTATCACCAATAGGTAGATTACACCAATTCATGTCTAGCATTCAACTTCCCTCATTACTATAATATCTACATTAAACGCTTAAAACGTGGTGGCCAAGCAAAAACCAGTAGACACATAACAAAACTCAAGCAGGAACCGACATTTCTATTCCAGCATTAGACATGATGCATTTTCAGTTGGAGACTGGAAATAACTGACGACATTTTGTCAAATTTCTTAAATCAAGTTTTTGTTTGTTTGTCGGATTATCATTGAAATGAAACGTCGACAATACGTTGATTCATACCAGCGGCTAAAACAATACGTTGATTCATACCAGCGGCTAAAACAATACGTTGATTCATACCAGCGGCTAAAACAATACGTTGATTCATACCAGCGGCTAAAACAATATGTTGATTCATACCAGCGGCTAAAACAATACGTTGATTCATACCAGCGGCTAAAACAATACGTTGATTCATACCAGCGGCTAAAACAATACGTTGATTCATACCAGCGGCTAAAAGCCAATAATAAAATTTCATTTTTTTATAAAGTAACCGAAATTAGTGAATTAAAAATCTCCTCTTCTCAGAAGAGTCCACGAACGGTAACAAAAACCCATGGCAATGTAAATACCAACGACATGCTACAACTTACAATTAAGTTCACTCTGCTGTAGTACTGGATGCATTCCTCACCAAAGGAAAAAAAACCAACAACAACAACCGAGAGACTTCACAAATGAAAATTCCACTTTGTTAAAGAGCTCTTCGGTAATAAAAAGTCCATGCTACACACATTTCTGGAACACGTGTGCTCCTCTCTGCAGCTCCCCATAGCTCGGCGTGTATAACACAAACAACCAGGACGCAACACCCATGTTTTTTTGTTTTTCTGTTGTGTTGAGCAGATTTCTGTACGAGACCAACCTGTATGAGCAGACGTGGGCGCGGCCTCCGCACGTCTAGTGACCCCGGAGTACATGAGACTGTCGAAGTCATGGAGACGGATCAAGTTTCACAATTGCACATTGCATAATGTTGTGTAAATTGTGACTTAATTCTTCGAGTCATTTATATTGCATATATTTATTGTATATTGATTTGTAGATACATCCGTCAGTTTATTTGACTTTGAATGTATATTGTGTACACTAATTCGTGTCTTTATTTATTTTATTTTGATCAATAGTTTAAACAGTAATTTTGAATGTATGTTTTGTACATGGATTTGCGACTGATTTTTTTAGTTACATTTATATTGACGTCCGACGTCTTTTGGGGACGCACGACTCTTTCCAGGGGGTCGCCGAAGACCATCTGAAAACACATATGCTCTACAGTAATCAAGTAGCAACGAAAATAATTTTGTGGCCGGGGGGTCGCCACAACATGAGGAACTATATTAAAGGGTCGCGGCATTAGGAAGGTTGAGAACCACTGCCTTAGAGGGAACATTGGTGGTTAGTGAAATTATTTGTGGAAGTTATAAAGCCTAAACATATGGCAAGTCACATGGTTATTTTCAGCGAGGTAAAGTGATAAAAGCATTTTGTTTACTTGCTCTCTTGGAGTGTTGTTCTTTTTAATAGCCATTTTTTTTAAAAAGTTATAAACGAAGAGTCGTCATCTGTTAGCATCAATTAACTTTTTTGTGTGCTTAAATTTGTATCTATTAATAAGCAAAATTACTTTGCTAACGCATATTAGAGGATGGTGCCCCATTCTTAAGATTCTTTTAAAATCAGTTTTGATAAATGTAAAACAAAACATTTATACTATAATTAACACACTTATGCCTTTTAAAGTTACTGCGCATTTTATTTTGCGCGCCTCGTGTGCATATAGCCATGAAATTGATTTTATACGTTAGGCCTACTAGCCAATATACCCGGCTTTACTCCTGTTTGGATTGGGAGCAAATATCATAAAGGGTTTTACCACGTAGCCTATAGTATAGTCAAAGACACTTCGCTATTAGTAACTATTAACATTAAACTTAAGTCTAAGTAAAGCGATATCAGCGCAAATGTAAATTTAGGGATCTGTAAAAAAAAAAAATAAATAAATAAATAAATAAATAAAAACCACTTCGTAAAATTACCAATTAAACATTAAAATTTTATTCTATAAAAGATATATTTATAATTTAAAAACCTCTTGCAAACATGGAATTCGGAACCCTATTCCGTTTCAGTTAATTTTCCTAAAATCAGAATGTTAATGCATGTTGGTCAACGGGCATTCTGACCAGGTGTCCATACCAACTAATTGATTGTTGAGCCATATACAGGCTGATTGGGAAGGCAACCATTTGTCTTTATTTCCAGATTCCGATTGTTGTTCATTTTTTCTTTGCCAACAGCTCGTCTTAAACATTTTGTCTCGCAGACTAACTGTTGGTCTGTGGTTTCGATTGGTGACGTTTTTTTTTTTTTTTTTTTTTTTGTGGGGGTGGGGGTATGAGAGATGACGTTGTTTGTTGTTGTGGTTTTGAACTTTACAATATATATATTTATAAGAAAAATAATTGTTTAGAGTAACCTTCCTTGCTTCCAGCTTGTTGGGTCGGCTGAAACAGTGACTTAAAAATCAAAATACTCATTTAAAAACACATTTTTATTAGTTGTCTCATAGTTCAAATAACGAGAATACTTCCATTTGCTTCCACACTTCTATGTGAGGGTGGATTATCACTGCTTCTTAAGTAACTAAGTCCAGTGACGAACAACACGCTTTGTCCTAAACCGCTACAGGAATACCTCTAGTGTTGGCAGCATGCTGGAAACACTTGGCTGGTCACCATTGGAGGAACGACGACGACAATCCAGGCTCTCCATGATGTACAAGATAAATAATGGGCTGGTCCACTGTTCCAGTATTAAACAGAAACTCGTCCCTCTCCCCCATAGACAGCGACGAGGCCATGACAGGCAATTCAGGCTCAT